TGTATAAATATATATATATATTTTAAAATTTGATTTCTCTGCCTCCAATCTCTACGATCCTGAGGAAGCTAATAAGCAAAACGTATCAACCCTTTGGAGGACATAATGCTATAGGGAACATTGTGGATACATTTGGGCTGGTTAGCCATGTATTGTTTTTAAAAACAAGTCCAGTTTATGTTGTATTCAATAAAATATGTAATTTTATAACTAAAATATGTGAGTGTGTCCTATACTGTATCAGTAAAGTCCCATGATGTTCCCCTAGGGGTATTTTTCTTTTTTTGGATTGGGTTTACAATAACGCTTTTAAATTATGTAATCATGTGTAAACTCTTACACAGCACAGTGGAGGGCAAATTCTGTTGAACCGGCAGCACAAAATGTCTTGCAAAATAGAATTCATTCTATAGCAGTTCTGTTACTAATGTTCACTATTAGAGAGATAAATGTGTGTATAAACAGAGGATAGAAGCCTATCCCGCCTTCAGCTAATAATGGAATCTTCTATTCCTCCTACCAGTCCATCCCCACAGTTATTACCTTTTATACCACTAGCCCCTCCCTCTTAGATTGTAAGCTCCAAGGAGCAGGGCCCTCCTAACCCTCTTGTATTGAACTGTATTGTTCTGTATTGTCTCCCTTTATTTTGTAAAGTGCTGTGCAAACTGTTGGCACTATATAAATCCTGTAATAATAATAATATAATAATAGAAATGCTTCCTTTGTCCAAAATCAGTTGAGTCTTACTGTTCATTTCTAAAATCCGATAAAGGGAATTAGAAGACGGCGCCACACAGCTTAAAGTGGATCTTTTTTTATCTGTCAACATAAAGCTTTTGTTGGCATCAATAAGTAGTCACTGACTAAACTGAAACATACCTATCAGCAACACAGGAATGCCACACATCTAGATGCAAAACAATCTTTCAATAGCCAGAAGGAACAAGTTCTATTCTGACATGTTTTGCACTAGGCATAGCGCTTTCTCTATGCATTCTTTGAGAAAGCAGTGCACCTAGTGCAAAACGTGTCATGAAAGAACTTGTTCCTGCTGGCTATTATAATAAAGGAATCTTATTTTGCATCCTGGGGTGCAGTATTCCTGTTGCTGATTCAATTGATTACTTTGGTACAGACAAGCAGAGCCAGCACCTGAGATGTGATTGTGGAGTGTGGGGCATGATCTCGCCTGGAGCACCATGTGAAATATCAAAGTGAACCTTTACCCTGTTGAATGATAGACAGAGTCTGGAGACTTCTTTTTTTCTAGTACCAACTTGAAGTGGACAAACAATCTCTTGGCTAGAGAAAGCCTTAACTTTTGGTGTGGGGGCATGAGTACCTCTCCAAGTTTTTTGGTTGATTGTGTGCTTTTTTTCTGGCTGGCTTGACAAGCTTTAACAAACCTCTGTAACTGATTGTGTTCTAATTGAGTTCACAAATGCTTTGCTGGTCTTGCTGAAGACTCCTGCAGTAGCCTTACTTAGTCTAGGTTCACACCTATGCAGGTTGCGTTTGAGGCATTTCTGCATTGCGTTTTGCATTTTTGCACTTGCGTTTTTGACGCGTTTGTAATACATTTTTCTTTTCCCATTTTTCAAATGTTTCTTGTTGCTGGCCAGATTTTAAATGCAAAATGCTGCTGAAAATGCTTAGGTGTGAACCTCGGGTAATCCAGTTCTAATAGGACACTCATTCTTATAAAAACAGGGATGTCTAGGAAGGCAAAGGCATGCATCACCATGACCACTCAGATTTGATAAAATGTTTGCTTAAACCTCTCATCCAAGCTATATCTCACTTACAGTGACTAGAAATATGGTCCAGAAGCCCTCAATTCCAATCTCTCCAATCAGTGTCACCCACTGTCTAGTGGAGGCTAAATACTTGGCTAGATTTTTTATGGCATTCTTCAATGCTGGTAATGGAGATGGAGCCTCTACTTCCTTTGTCAAAGGCAACACAGGCCCCTAGGTGACTGACACCCAAGCTTCTTTTTGTTCCTGACCACATTCTATAGCTTCTTGTAGCATGGCTGGTGCATGTAACAGTTCCATCTGCTCTCACTCAATCTTTCAGTTCAGGTTTTGCACAAACTGCAGAGGTCAACTGGTTGTGCATAACGTGATCTGAATTTGCTTCTGCTGTGCAATCAGATCCATCTGTATTCTCCAGACATTTCCACATATCCTATATGGCCAATGCATATGGCGAAGAGTATCACCATCTTGTTGACTCGGAGTGCAAAATTTCTTCTGGTATGCAAAATACGTAACTTCACCATATAGGTTTTTCACCCCTGCCACCACTGCATTCAATGCTGCCCTCTCCATTTACGATGAAGCTAACATTGCCCTGCAAGCTCTCCCATCTAAGGAATTGATAGCTAGGTCAGGGAAGTGTGCTGCATGTACTTGATACAGGTGAGCAGTTGTTTTGGAATTAACAGCAATCACATGGCAGCAACTCAATGCATTTATACATCTAGACGTGGTAAAGAAACATAACAAGCATCAGAATGGGGAAGAAAGGGGATTTAAGTGACTTTGAACGTGGCATGGTTGTTGGTGCCAGATGGGCTGGTCCGAGTATTTAAAAAAGTGCTGATCTACTGGGATTTTCATGCACAACCATCTCTAGGGTTTACAGAGAATGGTCAGAAAAAGAGAAAATATCCAGTGAGCAGCAGCAGTTCTGTGGATGAAAATGCCTTGTTGATGTCAGAGGTCAGAGGAGAATGGGGAGACTGGTTCAAGATGATAGGAAGGTAACAGTAACGCATGTCAATATGGTCCAAAATCTCTGATTAATGTTTCCAACACCTTGTTGAATCTGTGCCAAAAAGAATTAAGGAAGTTCTAAAGGCAAAAGGAGTCCAACCTGGTACTAGCAAGGTGTACCTAAAAAAGTGGCTGGAGAGTGTGTGTGGCAGTAGTAGTATCCAAATAACTGAAATCTACAATCTCTTAGAACAGTAATGTGGCATAAAAACAGAACAAGTCCAACAAGTACACTACATAGATCCTGAGTGCTTACAGAACATTTGGATTTACCAAGGATTACCTCTTCATTCTGGCACTGCCTTGTTGTACTACTCAGAGGTTATCTTAAAGGTTTTAGAACACCAGCAGATTCTGCAAAAGGCAGCCTGTCCTTTATTAATCACTAACTCCGATCATATACTCTGCCCTAAGTACAGGACATTCTGATTTTCAGATCCTCTGACTTTCCCACTGAGGGGTGAGGAGTCCTATCTATCCTTCACCACCCGGGATCTTTCCATACCTAAAATGATTCCCACTGTCGGGGCCCTTTGGTGGTGCAGATTGTATTATTTATAGCACATCTATATCCCAAAATGACTTTCAAAATTTTGAGAAAACTCTGACAAAACTAAATGTAGCCTGGACTCTATGGAAGAGGACACAATAGTGATGGGATTGCTTTGTTTACTAACAAGAGTAAGGAAAGAAGTGATTGTGTGATCACAGGAACACAGCATCACTTCTCAGCTCTGGTCACCCAATGGAGCTGCATCCTGCATCCTGGTGATTTCCAACTCTCCCACCATATTTCTTCTGATTGTCACAACTTTAATGGCTAGGCTAACTTGCCTGCATTAAAATGGTCTATGATTCTTAACCTCAAAGCATAATATACTGTAAACCCTACTAATAAAGTTCTTCTATTGTGTAACAAAGTGAGCGCTACTAATGAGGAGACAAAAATAAGCAGCTAATAGCACTAGAGGTGATCACAACCACCTCTGGTATAAGTAAATAAATAAAGTGCAGCGCTAAAAAAACAACAAGTATAGAGTTCGATCTAAAAAGTTCAATCAATAAATTCGTAAATAATGCAATCGGTCTGTGAATATGGTGGACACAGCTTTGAGTGATCCGGAAAAAATGGCAGAAATGCGCACTCACCGACCGTGCATAGGAAATGCGCATGTGTATAACAAATCCTACAGATGTCGTTATCCCCCAGGATGAGGTGTCATCAACCGATCTGCTGGACGTACAGGGCCTCCTTAGGATAAGGATGAGTCAGCCGGGCAAAAGGTTCCTTCCAGGTAAAGGCTTCCCTCCTCTGGATGTAGTATGTAGCTGTGTCTGCTGACCCCTCAATGAGGGGCAAAAAGTGGGAGAGTACCCATAGTGTAGTATGTCAAATATTTTATTGGTAAAAGAAACTCGGTACAAGGCAGGTCAGTAATGGTGCTGGCAAATGCCAGAAAACACAGTGAATAAAAATGTGTTACTGACCTAAAATGCAGCTGGCCACCAGACCTCCTTGTGGTCAGAGCGGCAATGAGGCGTCACAGGCTGTCAGTTCCTCCTGAGGCCTTTCGTGCTAAGGCACATCATCAGAGGGGATACTGACCAGGTCTTAACACGAAAGGCCTCAGAAGTCAGACAGATCTAGACTCCCCTATGATCCTATTATTTTTCTGTTATCCTAATACAGAAGGGTGTATGAGAGTTGTGTTCCCAAGATTGGAAGCATGTTACTGACAGAATCACCTCAATGATATACAAGAAAACTAGTGCAGACACCACAAACTAAGGACTAGTAGACTGCACTACATTAAAATTTTGTTTTTAGGATTAGAAATACTTTATTAGATGTCTGTCCTAAACTGTTAGGTGGGCCTTTAAGCCATGTCACATTGGGTGTCCACAATTCATATGTGGCTGGCACTGATTTGTTGTTGACAACTATAATTTGTATGTTGTACAGTGGTTTGCCGTTATTGTTGGACACATATTGTTTGAAATCAACAAAACTATGGCATTACCATTTCAACAATTGTCCAGGTTTTTTATTGGGTTGTGATGGGCAAAGTATACAGGTTGATTTGTTAAAGCTATAATGCCAATGATTATCAACAGTGATGATCTTTCTAGTCTCCATGTTTTTAAATTGTAGTCAGTAAGAACCTATTTTTTTATAATATATGCCAAATATAATAAAATTCTCATATTCTATTTCAGTTTGCAGAGAAATACGGATCAATATATACTGTTTATTTTGGCCATAATCCTATTGTTGTCCTAAGCGGTTATGAAACTGTAAAAGAGGCATTACTGGACCGAGCAGAAGAATTTAGTGGACGTGGAAGAAATTCAGCTTTTGAAGATTTTTTCAAAGGACATGGTAAGCATAGTAGGCATGACTTATGAGTGACTAGTGCTTAATCCCAAAGGACTCTGTATTTTCTCAGGTCCCCTGTTCCCAGAGCCCACAACACTGCAAGTAGCACCACACTCTCTGACACACCTGGACTGAAGAGTGGATATTATTGTGACAATATATATGCAGCAACCAGAGAAAAAAAAATGGCAACAACCCCTCAAACAAAGATATAAAACAACAGCAAACTGGGTATGCAGTTGGCCAACAAATATACACTGCTCAAAAATATTAAAGGAACACTTTGAAAACACATTATTATTATACAGTATTTATATAGCTCCAACAGTTCGCTCAGCGCTGTACATTACAATGGGAGACAATACATGAGACAGTACAATAACAATACAATGCGATACACAAGGAGTTCGAGGGCCCTGCTTCTTGAAGTTTACAATCTAGGACATCAGCTCTCAATGGGGAAAAATATCATGCTGGATATAAATACTGATATGGAGTGGGTTAGGAACGTAAGGATGCCCCATCGTTTGATGGAAATTACATTTATCAACCTACAGAGAACTGAATTCAAAGAAAAAATCAAAGTGCAAAAATGATGCAGCAGGCTAGTCCATTTTGCTGAAATGTCATTGCAGCAACTCAACATTGTACTCAGTAGTTTGTATGACCCCCACATGCTTGTATGCATGTCTGACAACATCGGGGCATGCTCCTAATGAGATGGTGGATGGTGTCCTGGGGTATTTCCTCCCAGATCTCTACCAGGGCATCACTGAGCTCCTGGATAGTCTGAGCTGCACCCTGGTGGTGTCGGATGGTCTGAAACTTGATATCCCAGAAGTGTTCTTTTTGATTTAGGTCAGGCGAGCGTGGGGGCCATTCAATGGTATAAATTTCTTCATCCTCCAATAACTGCCTGCATACTCTCACCACATGAGGCTGGGCATTGTCGTGCACCAGGAGGAACCAGGACCACTGAACCAGCGTAGGGTCTGACGATGGGTCCAAGGATTTCATCCCAATACCTAATGACAGTCAGGGTGCCATTGTCTAGCCTGTAGAGGTCTGTGCGTCCATCCATGGATATGCCTACCTACACCATCACTGACCTACCATCAAAACGGTCATGCTGAACGATGTTACAGAAAACATAACATTCTCCACGGCTTCTCCAGACCCTTTCACATCTGTCACATGTGCTCAGGATGAACTTGCTCTCATCTGTGAAAAGCACAGGGTGCCAGTGGCAAACCAGCCAATTCTGGTGTTCAATGGCAAATGCCAATCAAGCTCTATGATGCCAGGCACTGAGCACAGGGCCCACTAGAGGACATCGGACCCTCAGGCCACCCTCATGAAGTCTGTTTCTGATTGTTTCTGACAGAGATATTCACACCAGTTTCCTACTGGAGGTAATTTTTTTTTATGGCACTGACAGTGCTCATCCTGTTTCTCCTTGCACAAAGGAGCAGATACCGGTCCTGCTGATGAGTTAAGTACCTTCTATGGCCCTGCACACCTCTCCTAGAGTAACTGCCTGTCTCCTGGAATCTCCTCCATGCTCTTGAGACTGTGCTGGGAGACACAGCAAACCTTCTAGTAATGGCACATATTGATGTGCCATCCTGGAGGAGTTGGACTGCCTGTGCAATCTCTGTAGTGTACAGGTATCGCCTCATGCTACCAGTAGTGACACTGACCCTAGCCAAATGCAAAACTAGTGAAAAACAGTCAGAAAAGGTGAGTAGTGAAAAAAATGTCAGTAGCCTCCACCTGTAAAACCATTCCTGTTTTAGGGATAGTATCATTGTGGCCCATCTAGTGCACCTGTTAATTTCATTAACACCAAAGCAGCTGAAACTGATTACCAACCGCCTCTGCTACTTAACTGACCAGATCCCAGGAGATCAATTGACCTGTTGCTATACACTGATTAAAAAGTGTTCCTTTAATTTTTTTGAGCAGTGTATAAACAGTAGCTGTTGGGTTATACAGCTGGTAATAAGTCAATGCTCCAGAGAATTACCTCTAAACTCTATACTAGGGAGGGTCCTGCTTAAGAGATAATGTTACAATAACAGTCTGCCAGTCAGTATTAAACCCTTTCCCTACTGCCCAGCATGTTGGGGCCAGGGACGGACTGACCATTTGGAAACTCGGGCACTGCCCGAGGGCCTGGGGTCAGTAGGGGGCCCCATGAGATGCCCCTGGTACCTTTTTCATATGCTTTTTTGAGTTTGGGAAGGGACACAGGGGCCCCATTATCCCCTATTGCCCGGGGGCCCCATGAGTTGTCAGTCTGTCCCTGGTTGGGGCCCAGGGTAATTTATTCCTAATGGTTCTCTCTTTAATGGGATGCAGTAGGGTTTGGCCAGCAGTCTCTCACCATCTCTTGGGGAGACAGTTAGTCTCCCTCTGTTCTGCTTTGGCTCTCAGTGAAGTCAGTGTTCTCCATAACAATGAGGTGGCAGCACCAATCAGGAACAGTGACGTTCTCTCCAATGAACAGACAGCAGCATCAGTCAGACAGTGGCGTTTTCGTGTACCAGGAGATGTCTGCTACTCTGCCTCTTTTCACATCAGATGTGATGGCAAAATGTTCTACCAACAGTTTGCAGCCTAGTATGTCTCCCATAATGTCCTCACCACATCTGCCTTGAGCCCCGGAATAGACTTTCTTTTCCACAGAGCCTAGTCCTGCTGTTATGTGTAGTTCCATTGCCAATCTGTAATACAAACCGAGTCTGTCTGGGTACTACATCTCCCACAAGTCACAGTTAAAATCAAGGAAATTGGCTGCACACTCCACTAAAATGTGTATGTTTATTAAAGCAGACGGTTATGAATAAGCGCTTAAAGAGTTACAAAACACATTCACTTTTCCTTCTTTTGTGTGCCAATGTTGTGATATGTATTTATTTATTATGATTTAATGAACTTAAACATTTTAGTGGAGTGTGCAGCCAGTTTCCTTGATTTTCTGCTGTCTCCGGAGACGAGCACCTCTATGTGTGTTGGATAGATCCAGTAACACCACCTAGAGCAGTGTTTACTTTTCCTTTGGACCACAAGTCATAGTTGCACCCAGCATGCTCAGTACTTCCCACAATTCACAGCAGCTGAGTTTCCTTTTCCTCTCTGTGATTTTGAGGGTGGTGGTCAGGGCTTTCCTCCACTTCTCTCTCTGGTTGCATACTTGAGAGGAGGAGAGGAAGTGCAGGACAGAAGGAGTGATCATAGCCCAGTTCCTGTTGCCAAACAAGTCAGCTCTGTGGACCAGGGACTGCACATTTACCTTCAAATTCAGGATGTAATAAATAGACTTCTAGTTCATTGATAAAGAACAGTTTCATTCATTAAGTAATGAAAATCAAGTGAACTGAGACCACTCTTGGATGTTACAAATATCCTTAAAGCTGAACTCTAGGAGGAGGATAAAAAGACACACATTAATGAAGCTCTGCAATCATTAGTATGTCATTAAATTCATGTTTTAAATGCAAGCAGTGTAAGTATAGTTGACTTTTCACCAGACTTTTGAAGTTCTCGTACAAAAGGGATGGGGTGTGAAAGGAATGAAACCTGAAATACATTTTAATGTGCCTCATTCTGTTACTAACAGTACTTCATTTGCTGTCTGTCCCTGCAGAATAGATTCCCATCCAAGGTTTGACCCAAGTCCTACTTTAAATGTGTATTTACATATAATTATCATAAATACCTAAATTCCAGACCCATGTAATTGAGATATAAACTGAGATGTAAAGAGCAGCACCAGAAGCCAATCAGGGATATATTGCTTTGTAAACTGCTATCAGGCCCACGTTGAACATGTTACTATTATTATTATTATTATACAGTATTTATATAGCGCCAAAGGGTTTGCTCAGTGCTGTACAATAGCGAGGGGGACAGAACATGAGACAAAACAGTAACAATACAATACACGAGGGGTTCGAGGGCCCTGCTCTTTTGAGCTTACAATCTAGGAGGGAGGGGATAGTGGTACAGGAGGAAGTGGCTGTGGGGGATGGAGTGGTGGGAGAAGTGGAGGAGATCGGTTGTTAGGTGAGGGTGGGGTAGGCTTCCTGAAGAGATGGGTTTTTAGGGTGCGCCTGAAGGTGAGGAGGGTAGGTAACAGTCTGATGGATTGGGGTAGGGAGTTCCAGAGGATGGGGGAAGTCCTGGAGAAGTCCTGCAGTCAGGCGTGGGGGGAGGAGACCAGGGAGCTAGAGAGTAGGAGGTCCTATGAGGAGCGAAGGGCACGGGTAGGGTGGTATTTGGGTATCAGGTCAGTTAGGTAGTTTGGGACGGCATTGTGAATGGCTTTGTAGGTCAGAGTTAGTAATTTGAATTTGATGCGCTGGGCAATCGGGAGCCAGTGAAGGGATTGAGGGGGGCGGCAGATGTGGAGCGGTTGGTGAGGTGGATGAGTCTAGCCGCTGAGTGGGGATAGCGTTTGTTTGGGTAGGCCAGTGAGAATGGAGTTGCAGTAGTCCAGGCGTGAGATAACGAGGAAGTGTACGAATTGTTTAGTGGTGTCTGGGGTGAGGAACGTACATATCTTGGAGATGTTGCGGAGGTGGAGCATGCATGACTTTGATGGTGATTGGACATAGGTTGAAGGAAAGGTTTGAGTCCAGGGTGACACCAAGGACTTTGGCGTGGGGGGATTGATGGTGGCGTTGCTAGTAGTGATGGAGAGGAAGGGGGGGGTGCGGGCTGGGGGGAAAACCAGGAGCTCAGTTTTGGACAGGTTTAACTTGAGGAAATGGAATGACATCCAGTCTGATATGTCGTTCATGAGGTGGGCGATGCGGGCGGAGAGTGAAGGGGTGAGGTGGGGGGTGGAGAGGTAAATTTGTGTGTCGCCGGCATAGAGGTGATAGTTGAAGCCGTGGGAGTGTATCAGTTTGCCAAGGGGGGAGGTGTAGATAGAGAAGAGGAGGGGTCCGAGGACAGAGCCTTGGTGGACTCCAACAGAGAGGGGGAGGTGGCAGCATTATAGGTGACGCTGAAGGAGCATTGGGATAGGTAGGAGGAGAACCAGGAGAGAGTAGCGTCCCTGATGCCAAAGGAGTGCAGTTTGGTAAGGAGGAGGGGGTGGTCGACTGTGCCAAAGGCCGCAGAGAGGTCGAGGAGCAGGAGGACTGAGTAATGGACATAGGACTGAGTAAAGGCCATATGTTGGGAGAGCAGAGGGATAGCTTGTAAATGTGCTGCTTGTTTTTCATTTTCTAGTCACAAGGACCTGCTATGTTGTCTGGCAGTGACGCCTCATTTACAAGAACTTTAGAAGAGAAAATAGTTAATATCCATTTAAATGGAAGCAATTATGGATGTTAGAGGTCATTGCACTTTGCATATGACAACTGCAGTTTTCACTCCTTTGACGTACGTCTGATTATTGTTTTGTAGGACTGGTCTTCAGCAATGGGGAACACTGGAAAGATTTGCGCAGGTTTTCACTTACCACGCTCAGAGATTTTGGGATGGGGAAGAAATCTATTGAGGAGCGTATACAAGAAGAGGCTGGTTTCCTGGTGGCAAAGATCAAATCTCTGGAAGGTATGGTGTCCGCTCTGCGTGGATGGAATATGAAAATATTGTACACGTAGTTCAAAATAAAAAATTTCAGTAGTGTTTCTCAGGAAAAAGTAGATACATTTTTCCTTGATGTTCCCTAATGGAACTTGTTATTATTATTATACAGGATTTATATAACGCCAACAGTTTGCTCAGCAGTTTATATATACATCTGAAGGAAAACTGTTATTATTTCATATAACACTCAATCCAATTGTGAAAAATCTGTTTAGTTACATTAGACAAGAACAAAAGTCCTCCTTCTGACACTTTATTATTGTTTCCTAGGGTATCAGATGTGGGCCATCTACTGCATTTTAGGAACTTTATATATACAGTCAGGTCCATAAATATTGGGACATCGACACAATTCTAACATTTTTGACTCTATACACCACCACAATGGATTTGAAGTGAAACAAACAAGATGTGCTTTATCTGCAGGCTGTCAGCTTTAATTTGAGGGTATTTACATCCAAATCAGGTGAACGGTGTAGGAACTACAACAGTTTGCATATGTGCCTCCCACTTGTTAAGGGACCAAAAATAATGGGACAGAATAATAATCATAAATCAAACTTTCACTTTTTAATACTTGGTTGCAAATCCTTTGCAGTCAATGACAGCCTGAAGTCTGGAATGCATAGACATCACCAGATGCTGGGTTTCATCCCTGGTGATGCTCTGCCAGGCCTCTATTGCAACTGTCTTCAGTTCCTGCTTGTTCTTGGGGCATTTTCCCTTCAGCAAGTGAAATGCATGCTCAATGGGATTCAGGTCAGGTGATTGACTTGGCCATTGCATAACATTCCACTTCTTTCCCTTAAAAAAACTCTTTGGCTGCTTTTGCAGTATGCTTTGGGTCATTGTCCATCTGCAATGTGAAGCGGTGTCCAATGAGTTCTGAAGCATTTGGCTGAATATGAGCAGATAATATTGCCTGAAACACTTCAGAATTCATCCTGCTGCTTTTGTCAGCAGTCACATGATCAATAAATACAAGAGAAGCAGTTCCATTGGCAGCCATACATGCCCACGCCCATGACACTACCACCACCATGCTTCACTGATGAGGTGGTATGCTTAGGATCATGATCAGTCCCTTTCCTTCTCCATACTCTTCTCTTCCCATCACTCTGGTACAAGTTGATCTTGGTCTCATCTGCCCATAGGATGTTGTTCCAGAACTATGAAGGCTTTTTTAGATGTCGTTTGGCAAACTCTAATCTGGCCTTCCTGTTTTTGAGGCTCACCAATGGTTTACATCTTGTGGTGAACCCTCTGTATTCACTCTGGTGAAGTCTTCTCTTGATTGTTGACTTTGACACACATACACCTACCTCCTGGTGAGTGTTCTTGATCTGGCCAACTGTTGTGAAGGGTGTTTTTTTCACCAGGGAAATAATTCTTCGGTCATCCACCACAGTTGTCTTCCGGGTCTTTTGGTGTTGCTGAGCTCACCGGTGCATTCCTTCTTTTTAAGAATGTTCCAAACAGTTGTTTTGGCCATGCCTAATGTTTTTGCTATCTCTCTGATGGGTTTGTTTTGTTTTTTCAGCCTAATGATGGCTTGCTTCACTGATAGTGACAGTTCTTTGGATCTCATCTTGAGAGTTGACAGCAACAGATTCCAAATGGAAATAGCACACTTGAAATGAACTCTGGACCTTTTATCTGCTCATTGTAATTGGGATAATGAGGGAATAAACACACACCTGGCCATGGAACAGCTGAGAAGTCAATTGTCCCATTACTTTTGGTCCCTTAACCAGTGGGAGGCACATATTCAAACTGTTGTAATTCCTACACCGTTCACCTGATTTGGATGTAAATACCCTAAAATTAAAGCTGACAGTCTGCAGTTAAAGCACATCTTGTTTGTTTCATTTCAAATCCATTGTGGTGGTGCATAGAGCCAAAAATTTTAGAATTGTCCCAATATTTATGGACCTGACTGTATGTACTCTAAAGAGATACTCTTGAAGATTTGAATTTTTCTTAGATGCATGACAAATGCATACAAAATGCAGAGTGAATGTCTCTCATATGCCCATGTACAATAGCCCATGATTGGGGTTAGTTTTGGGGGTTCAGCTATGGCTGATATGTAGTCCCAGTTGGGAAATTAATGTATCCACTGTACCTATTCCTCTAAGCCAGAGCAGGATTGTTATTATGCACCTTAGGCTTGTGCCCATAGGCACCACAATGGAATTAGTGACTGGGACTTCTCTAGAATTGGCCGTCATGTGGCCTCCTTCCAAAGCACTCATATGCGGCAATGGTGTCATAACTACACAGTGTGAAGTATGGAGTGTTGTAAACCTATACAATAACTATGTTTTCAAAATTTGGGGAGCCTGCAGAAAAATCCATTGACCCATCCAACCTCCTAAACCAGGCTGTTTCCAATGTCATCTGCTCTATAGTGTTTGGAAACCGTTTTGAATATGATAATCACAACTTTCAGCAACTCTTGAGGTTGTTTGGTGCAACATTCAGAGACATGAGTGGCTCTTGTGGACAGGTACGTTGTGCTGGCTTGTTGAGGAACATTGATCTTAAAGAGGAACTTCTCTCCCTTCCTTTACAAATGTTTTCACCATCTTATCTTGAATGCTCGGTTGTCTCCAAAAAAAACATACTCATCCACCCATCGAATACAGCATTGTGTGATGTAAGCCACTGTCTGTCTCAGCGAGTCCTGAATGGCCATGTTGTTGTCTGATGTCATCTGGGTGCCAGCTGATTCTTCCAGGTTTTTGAGTCATCCCCCTCATTAAAGTGCAACTGCAGAGAGTTGCTGCCACATGAACAGTAATCGTGACATTTTGGCATTGAAATTGAAAATATGACCGATTATGCCAAAATGTTGTCTTTTATTTAACCACCTCAATACTGGGCACTTTTACCCCCTTCCTGCCCAGACCAATTTTCAGCGCTCTCACACTTTGACTGATAATTACTCAGTCATGCAACACTGTACCCAAATGAAATTTTTGCCCTTTTTTTTCACACAAATAGAGCTTTCTGTTGGTGGTATTTAATTAGCACTGGGGTTTTTATTTTTTGCACTGTAAATTAAAAAAGGCAAAAAAATGTTTTTTTAAAAAACCCCGCATTTTTCTTAATTTCTGCTTTGCAATTTTGCAAATAAGTAATTTTTCTTCATAAATTTGGGTCAAAATATATACTGCTACATTGCTTTGGTAAAAATAATCCCAATCGGTGTGTATTATTTGGCCTGTGTGGAAGTTATAGAGTCTTCAAGCTAAGGTACCAATCATTGAAAATTGAACATACCTGATCAAACCTGATGTACTGACGGCCTATCTCACTTCTTGAGACACTAACAAGCTAGCACAGTACAAATACCCCCCAAATGACCACTTTTTGGAAAGTAGACATTCCAAGGTATTTAGTAACATGCATTGTGAGTTTTTTGCACCTGTAATTTTTTTCCCACAGTTCTTTGGAAAATGAAAAAAAGTAAATAAAATTAGGTTTTTTTTTCACAGAACTGTTATATTAACAGGTTATTTTTCTCACACAGCATATGCATACTTGCAGCTTCACTCCAAAACACATTCTGCTGCTCCTCCTGAGTATGGGGATACCACATGTGTAAGACTTTTTCACAGCCTGGCCACATACAAGGTTCCAACATCCAAGTAGCACCTACAGGAGTTCTAGAGACATAAATTACAAATCTAATTTCCTCACTATCACATTTGTGAAGGCCCTGGAGCACCAGGACAGTCGAATTACCACAAAATAACCTCATGTTTGAAAGAAAACACCCCAGTGTATATTCTATAAGGCATAACGAGTCTTTTGAACATGTAATTTTTCCACGAGTTTTTTTGAAAATGTGGAAAGAAAATTAAAATGTATTTTTTTTTGTACACAAAGTTGTCCATTTATAAGATATTTCTAACACATTGCATATACATACCAAGAATTACACCCCAAAATACATTATGCTACTCCTTCTGAGTATGGCAATACTACATGTGTAAGACTTTGCCACAGCCTTGCCACATCCAGAGGCCCAACATCCAAGTAGAACCTTCAGGCTTCTAAAACATAGCATGTACCTACCAAGAATTACAGCCCAAAATACATTCTGCTGAGCAAAGGGTAAACAAAAATTATCTGTGGTTTTAGTAGTGCAGTTGTCCACAGAGGAGATCATTGGTCCAGCCAGCAAGCAGGGACATAGCGGCAGCGAAAGGAATCGCCCAGGCAGCAGGAAGGAATACTGTTTATTGTCACTACAGGAAGCAGGCAGAGATATTGCCAGCACAGCCAAAGCATTGGTCCAAGAAGCAGGAAGACATGTGGTCAGCAACAGCCAAATGAGTTGTCCAGGCAGACACATGGTCAGCACAGCCAAAATATCAGTCCTGGTAGTAGGCAGAAACATGGGCCATAATACAGGTAGCAGGCAGAAATATCAGACTTAGGGCCTTATTCAGGTAAGACCTGGCACAGGGGTAGAGGCTTCGTCCTACCCAATCTCTTCAAAGCCTCCGGACTAACAAACCCTTGTCCGGGAATTACAAAACTGGAATAAAACCAAAAACTTTGTTTTCTCCACTCGGAAAATCTATTCTGAAGCCCCTCACATACATGAGACCCCTGTGTTGTCTTGAATCCAACATGCTGCTTCAGCTGGGTGTTATCTCTCGCAGTTCAGCGTCCCATTCCCCTATGGGATCGGCTTCTCACCTTCCGCCGCTCTCACCATTGTGGACTACGCCAAATTCTAAGAAGAGGGGATCACAGAAGCCACCTGAGAAGGCCTCTTGAACTTCCTTATCCTTTTGGGGTCCTTTCACTGTGCTTTTTGATAGGCAGTGGCATCTCTGTGGCTCCTGGGGAACGTTGGCCACTGCCATTACATTGCATCTGTTTGCTGAAAATAATTTAAGAAGGTTCGATTGTTTTGGTCATATTTATATGCACTAAACTTTGGATGGGTTACTGTTACTGTTGGTGCGCTCTCCTTGACTGGAAGACTCTTCCCCGAGATCGCTTCTCTGGGTAGATCCATTCCACTACAGGGCTATTGCTCTGTTCTTCTTGGTACATAGTCGTTTATACTTCGTTTATTTTATTTTTTTTTTTGTGCTCCGCATGTCTTTTCTTTTCTCATTTCTTTTTCTCCACTTCTTCTCTTCTTATCTTTCTCTGTTTTCCTCTGGGGTCAGCTGGTGACATTTAGAGACACTTCAGAATATTTTCACTTGTCAGGAATGGAGGGTCTCTGTCCTACTTAGTTCCTTGATTGTTTATAATGACTTCCCTACGGTCCACTAGAGGAGTGATTCGTCTACTTTCTCACAATGTTCAGGGGCTCAATTCCCCCTCCAAACGCATACAGGCTTTTAGTTCGTACCACTCCCTTGGGGCGGATATTATTGCCCTGCAGGAGACGCATTTTCCCCCCTCCTTCTCTCCGCGATATATCCATAAAAACTACCCTGTTTGCTTTTTTGCTAATGCTACGGAGAAAAAACGGGGGGTGGCTCTTTGCTTTTCTCGCCGACTGTCCTTTACCGAATCTAAAAACTGTCCGGGACAAGGAGGGGCGTTATCTTCTGGTAAAAGGCCATTTGGGCGGAAATCTAACCACTTTTCTAATTTATTACACTCCAAATACTAATCAGGTGGAATTTTTTCAGTCCCTGCTACGCTCTATGGCCAGGGAATTTGAGGGTGATGTTATTCTGGCCGGTGACTCCAATTTAGCACTGGACCAGACTATGAATCGTTCCCAAACCGTTACGCTTCAGCCCCCTTCTAGATGGAGCCATAAGTTGGCCCAACTATTATATCACTATGACTTTATTGATGCATGGAGAGAAGCTAATCCTACTTCTCGAGATTACTCTCATTACTCCAGGGATCATAACAGTTACTCCCGCATTGATCATATATTTCTTCATACACATTCACTCCCCAGACTTCTTACTGCTAAAATTTTCTCCATGTCCTGGTCTGACCATGACCCAATTTCTATAACTTTGTCATCCGGGACACCTGGTAAGACGACTTTTCATTGGCGTCTAAATGACTCAATCTTGGGTAACCCCTCTCATTGTTGGGAAATCTCCTCACACTTGCAAGCATTTTTTGATCTCAATAAAGCAGAGGACACGAACCCAGCAGTTAATTGGGCAACTCATAAAGCCTCGGTCAGGGGATGTTTTATTCAACTTTCTTCTCGACTTCAAAAAGCTCAAAATGACCTACTTATCAACTCAAACTCAAATTTACGATGACCTGGATGCCCAACATAAGCAAAATCCCAGTTGTTACTTAAATTTGACTAGGCCCAACTGGAGCTTAATTTATGTCTTACTACCATTGCTGACAAACAGATTTGTTGGTCTAATAATAAATTCTTTACCTGGAGGGACAGACCTGGCACTTTATTAGCACGCAAGCTGACTCCCAGGCATTCCCAGACGGCTCTCCCCAAACTCAGATTTGAAAATGGTTCGCTATCCCAGGATCCTGGTAAGATTCTCCACAAATTTCAGTCTTTCTACACTAAACTTTATTGCTCGCCCCAGGGGAGTACTTCTTTATCTATTGACACCTTTTTGGGCTCTGTCTTGCTTCCCCCCCTCCAGGAGGCCCACAGGGAGATGATGGAACGGCCTATCTCAGGTGACGAAATCGGGAATGCTGTAAAATCTCTTGCTCCTCATAAGGCCCCAGAAATGGATGGTCTACCCAATACTTATAAAGCTTTCCCTGATATTCTGATGCCCCATATGGCCCTCTATTTTAATTACTTGCTGGATGGGGGTATGGTACTCCCGGATGAAAATAGGGCGTTCATCAGTGTCATCCCCAAGGCCTCTCATAGACGCCTCTATGGTCTCCAATTATCGTCCAATTTCCTTGATTAATTGCGATTTAAAGATTCTTACTAAAATCTTGGCCCTACATCTCCATAAATTTCTGGCCCTATATATTCATGATGACCAGTCTGGTTTCATAAGCGGTCGACAAACATCAATCAAATTCATCGGACTCTAGCATTACTGTTAGCTGTGCAGTCCAATTGGGATGGGTCATCACAAAGGGAAATTCTACTGCAATCACTGGATATTCAGAAAGCGTTTGACAGTCTGTCTTGGACTATTTGTTTCAGACGTTAGACAAGTTCGGGTTTGGACCTCATTTTACAAAGCTGTTACGGGCCTTATATTCTATTTGGTTCCTACTCGCCTACCCAAAATGTACCCCTCAGTATCATCTAGCAGTTTCCGACGCTGTGGTCAGGAGGGTACTATGTTCCACGTTTGGTGGAAATGTCCAGTAGTGAGTAGGTTCTGGATCCGCATGTTTAATTTTATATATTCAGTAACAAGATTTAATATCCGTAGATCACCGGAAGTGGCCTTGTTTCATATACTACCCGCTCACGTTCCCAAAAAATCGACAAAACTAATTCTTTACCTCTTGCTGGCGGCTCGTATTACCATAGCCAGAAGTTGGAAACAATCTTTTATCCCGTTAGACTGTGTAAAACGAAAACTTAATTGGATAATGGTGAATGATAAACTTACAAGTATTGTCAATAACGATGTGTCCAGATTTCAGGGAACCTGGGAGCCTTGGATCAGTTATATTTCTATATCATGAGAGTCTTACAGCTGACCCCCCCCCCCCCCCTCTTTTTTCTTTCTCCTTTTCCCTTAAGAGTTGTTTCCTCTTTCTTCTCTCTCTTTCTTCTCTCCCTTTATTCTTTATTGATTGCTGAAACTTGAATATCTTGATGGTGTTGGCACTTTCTGGCTATATCACTATAAGCATTGTTAGTTAGTCACTTTTTTTGCGTGCCTATCTGTGTTCTGATCGTGTTCTATATGTCTTTCCGCCATGTGGGTGGACTTTAATGCCATCTCGTTTTATGCTATTGTTTGCTTATTTCTCAATAAAAATATTGAAATATAAATTTCTAGTGTCTGTTTTTAAGTAGCCAAGGAGTTTGTTAGCTCACACGTAGATGCTCTGAGCCATGGGCAGCAGAAAGGAACTGTCAAAAGACCTACATAACAAAGTAATGGAATTTTATAAAGATGGAAAAGGATATAAAAAACATGTCCAATGCCTTGAATATGCCAGTCAGTACTGTTCGGTCACTTATTAGGAAGCGGAAAATTTGTGAAGCTCTTGATACCAAGTCAATGTCAGGGGGACCAAGAAAGATTGCAGCTACAACTGCCACAAGAATTATTTGGGATACAAAGAAAACCCCACAGGTGACCTCAAGAGAAATACAAGCTGCTCTGCAAAAAGATGGTGTGATAGTTTAAAGTAGCACAATACGATGATACTTGAACACAAATGAGCTACATGGTTGAGTTGCTAGAAAGAAGCCTTTACTGCACCAATGCCACAAAAAAGCATGAAGAGGCATGTCAAGGTGTTGTAGAGCACTTTTGAGTACAACTGTAAATGAATAAAAGCTGACCATTGTAAGCACCCATGTCAGTGTTAAATGGTTTGTCTCAACCCTCTAACTGCTATTTTACTTGGACAGCTCGGTCTGTTAAAGTAAGACTTCCTGGCCATATCAACATAACACATATAAAAGCTAATTAATGCAGTCACCACATCTAATAATTGGTAAGTTGAAATAGATTTTTTTTTTCATTTGCTTTTTGGTTAAACCTCAATTGATTTTGATAAATAGTTTCAAAATGCAGCTGAATAGATTTTGTAATTTGTCTAATTTGGAGGCTTGTAAAAATACTACCTTTGTGTATGATCCAGTTGCAGGAAATGCTTCCAAATATCATGTACTACATTCCGGGACCTCATTGGAAAGTAAACAGTCATCTGGATAAAGTGAGGAATTTTGTCCTAAAGAGAGTGAAGATAAACCAGGAGACGTTTGATCCCAACTGTCCTCGGGATTATATTGACTGTTTTCTTCTCAAGCAGCTGCAAGTATGTGAATTAACTATATACTGGGGGCATCAAAGACTGTTTAGTTAGGCAAACAATTATATGGTCATTGCAGGACACTACAAAAACCAATCTAAATTATTTAACTTGACTGCAGCAAAGTAAAGTCTGCTCATTCCACCTATGTATCATTGTGAAGATGAAACATCAACTGAAGTACTGGGAAACCAACCAATCTCCAGAGCCCTCTGCTGCGCTCATTAGTTGATCCCACTAACCCTTACATCACTAAAAGAGCACTGTAATAATATGGGGGACAGTGAAAAGAAACACTGAGCACAAGGAAGGACACAGGTGATTAACAACACCACAACTGTCAATTTCTGAAAAGACTTCAGTCAAGGATTTATCTCTATTATGGCTATGTTCAAGGGGCAGGAGATGTTATTTCTAATATTTTCTTAATAAAAATGTTGCTTTATTATCTATTTTTTTTACACATACACTCACCGGCCACTTTATCAGGTACACCTTGCTAGTGCCGAGAAAAATATCCCCCACACCATGACACCACCAGCCTGAACTGTTGATACAAGGCAGGATGGATCCATGTTTTCATGTTGTTTACTCCACATTCTGACCCTACCATCTGAATGCCGCAGCTGAACCAGTCTGCCCATTCTCCTCTGACCTCTGAAATCAACAAGGAATTTTCATCTACACAACTGCCACTCCCTGATTATTTTCTTTTTTTTCAGACCATTCTCTGTAAATCCTAGCATCTCTGTTGTGTGTGTGAAAATCCCAGTAGATCAGCAGTTTTTGAGATACTCAGACCAGCCCATTTGGCACCAACAACCATGCCACGTTCAAAGTCACTTAATTCCCCTTTCTTCCCCATTCTGATGCTCAGTTTGAACTTCAGCAAGTCGTCTTCACCACATCTAGATGCCTAAATGCATTGAGTTGTTGCCATGTGATTGGCTGATTAGCAATTTGTATTAGCAAGCAATTGGAAAGGTGTACCTAATAAAGTGGCTGGTCAGTGTATTTTTTCTCCTCTAGCCCCTCAATGGAGTCTCAACCGTTCCTTTTCAACTCCAACTCAGTTTGTTCTGTACATAGAGAAATCTTGAGTTCCTTTTGTTATTATTATATTTCATGTTTTTAGGAAAAGGACAATCCATACTTTGACACAAAGAACATGGTACTGACAATACTCAACTTGTTCTTTGCTGGATCCGACACAGTCAGCAGCACCCTGCGAAATGGAATCCTCATACTTATGAGATATCCTGAAATACAAGGTAAATACTGGAAGCACTGACCAGTAAAAGACTCATGAAAAGAGAAAGGCGGTACCTTTGCCTATAAAAAAAAAAATATATATATTTTTGTTTTCAACCATCTAGAATAGGTGGCTCCTAATTTTTTTTGTGTGCAAATGTCTCAGCATCCACACATTCAATGCAAATTACTCCCATAATGAGTCCAAAACGTTTATTTCCTATGACTGTTAGCTCTATCTAGTGGCCATAATGCAGTATTTTCCTGATTGAGGTATTTCAGAAAAATACTGCATTATAGCCACTAGATGGAGCTGAGGATCACAGAAAATACATACATTAGACACATCACAACATCTATGCTGTTGCTGAGACATTTCACAGCAATTTTTTGTAGACCTCTTAGTTTGCTAACGCATTATATCTATATTAATATTTCCCAGACAAAGTACTCGAGGAAATAGTTCGGGTTATTGGACAAAATCGCATTCCAAACATTAGAGACCGGAACAATATGCCATATACTGATGCTGTAATCCACGAGATCCAGAGATACACTGATATTCTTCCAATAAATGTTGCACACTTAGTGACAAAAGATACCAACTTTAAGGGCTATACCATTCCTAAGGTAGGGGAGATTTTTCCTCACTGTGAAAATATTTTTGTAACACTATTCTCTGTAGTCAATTCCATTTGTTTTTGCATGTCAACAAACACATTTCAAATCAATAACATTTTTATGAGTCATAATGGTGCACCGAAATGAAAATTCTGGCGCCGAAAGCGAAAATTCAAATTGCACTTGGCCGAAAACCAAAATCCGCAGTTTTTAAAAATGAATATATATTTTTGGAAAAAAATACACTTTGATTAAAAAAAAAACAATATGTACCGTATTTTTCGCTCCATAAGACGCACCTGACCATAAGACGCACCTAGGTTTTAGAGGTGAAAAACAAGAAAAAAAAATATTCTGAATCAATGGACTGCAGACACAGTACAGGGGATGACCAGAGACGGCGGACACAATACAGGAGATGACCGGAGACTGCAGACATAGTACAAGAGATGACCAGAGACTGTGGACACAGTACAGGAGATGACCAGAGACTGCGGACACAGTACAGGAGATGACCAGAGACTGCAGACACAGTACAGGAGCTGACCAGAGACTGCGGACAAAGTACAGGGGATGACCAAGAGACTGCGGACATAGTACAGGGGATGACCAGAGACTGCGGACATAGTGCAGGAGATGACCAGAGACTGCGGACATAGTGCAGGAGATGACCAGAGACTGCGGACATAGTACAGGAGATGACCAGAGACTGCGGACACAGTACAGGGATGACCAGAGACTGCGGACACAGTACAGGGATGACCAGAGACTGACTGCGGACACAGTGCAGGAGATGACCAGAGACTGCGGACACAGTGCAGGAGATGACCAGAGACTGCGGACACAGTGCAGGGGATGACCAGAGACCGCGGACACAGTACAGGAGATGACCAGAGACTGCGGACACAGTACAGGAGATGACCAGAGACTGCGGACAGTGCAGGGGATGACCAGAGACTGCGGACAGTGCAGGGGATGAGCAGAGACTGCGGACAGTGCAGGGAATGACCAGAGACTGCAGACAGTACAGGGAATAACCAGAGACTGCTGACCTTTGGGGAGGGAGGGGGAGCGGGTACCTGAATTTGACAGGTACCCGCTCCCACTTCCGCGGAGTTGCCTTCCCTCTTCTTCCCGGGCCGGCTTCTGTGACAGCGGGGTGCCCACTGCGCATGTGCGAGAAGCGCTGCGCTTTGTGAATGGCCCGGCGCCTTCTGGGACCTTTCATGTGTCCCAGAAGACACCGGATCATTCACAAAGCGCAGCACATGCGCAGTGGGCACCCGGCCGTCACAGAAGCCAGCGCGGGAAGACTGTGCAGCGCTGGAGCAAGGAACAGGTAAGGCCCTGCAGGAGAGAACAGCTGAGCGGCCGGCCCGGTATTCTGACATGGTGGCGGCAGAAATACCGGACCGGCCGCTTTATATTCGCTCCATAAGACGCACTGACATTTTCCCCCCTTTTTTGGGGGAAAAAAGTGCGTCTTATGGAGCGAAAAATACGGTACTCCAATTGTTTTTTAAAATATGTAAGAGGATGCTACGGCGAGTAAATAGATACCCAACATGTCATGCTTTATAACTGCGCACGCTCGTGGAATAGCATGAAACTGCGGTACTTAATCTCCATGGGTGATGCTTTAAAAATTTCTACAGGTTAGCAGTGTAAAGTTACAAAGGAGGTCTAGTATGAGAATTATTGTTCTTGCTCTGACATTCATGGCGATACCTCACATGTGTGATTTGAACACCATTTACATATATGGGCATGGTCTACGTATGCGTTCACCACTGTGTCTGAGCACGGGGGGACGGGGGCACTTTAAACTTTAAAAAAAAATTAAATTTTTTTTTTGCACTGTTCCTTTTAAAAAAATTGTAATCACTTTTATTCTTATCACAAGAAATGCATGCATGCCTTGTGATAGAAATAATTAGTGACAGGTCCTCTTTATGGAGAGATATTGGGTCAATAGGACCCACATCTCTCCTCCGCAATGTAAAGCACTAGATTAAAAAAAAGTATTCATCTAGTGCTTTTAAAAAAAAAAAAGACGCCGGAACCAGAAGTGACATTGCTCTGGTCCTCCAAGGGCATAGAAATGTGTGGCAGCCATCTTTCCTTCACTCATCTCTATGCCCAACGCATAAGGTAGACTGAACTACCGAGCGGCGGCCTGGGCGGTGGCGGACGGGCAGCTTTGAGGGGCGGGGTTAGTTCGGCACCTTTATCGGTGCTTTTTTTCATTTCGGCCAACAGTCGAAAGGGGTGTTTTTGGCCGAAATGTTTTGGCCACCGGAACTTCGGTGCATCCCTAGTTATGACAAAAAAAATAACAATTTTTGGTCTAAATATGAAATCATTAAGGGGGTGTTTTATATTTTATTTATCAAGTATTTTTTTACTCCGTCCTAACAATATGCATAATTGTTGTTTAAATATTATTTTAAATTCTTATTTTTTTAAAGCCATCTCCTTCAGGGTCACTCAGCCTTTTGTATGTCTTTAGGGTACAGATGTCTATCCATTACTGTGTTCTGTTCACCAAGACCCCAAGAAGTTTACTACTCCCACTATGTTCAACCCCAATCATTTCCTGGACAGCAATGGCTGCTTTAAGAAGAATGAAGCCTTTATGCCATTCTCTGCAGGTACATTTACATTGTAACCAGACATTGAATTCAAAGGTTAAAGTGTCAGTATACTCAAAATGAGAGGGGTCCTGTTTTTGGTATCCTTCTTGATGACCCTTTGTGAAGAACCTGATGGATGCAACCTGTCTGCTTTAAGGAAAAACTAAGCCATTATTCCATTCTCTACAGGTACATTTACATTTTAAACAGACACCACATTCTTAGGTTAAAGTGAAACTATACTCAAAATCAGGGGCTCTGATTTTTACTATCCTTCTTGATGGCCCCTAACTAAAATCTAGTGGAACCAATTGCCTTTAGAAATCACCTAATTAGGAAATAGAGTCCACCTGTGTGTGATTTAATCTCAGTGTAAAATACAGCTGTTCTGTGAAGCGCTCTGAGGTATGTTAGAGAATATTAGTGAATAAACAGTATCATGAAGGCCAAGGAACACACCAGACAGGTCAGGGATAAAGTTGTGGGGATGTTTAAAGCAGGGTTAGGTTATAAAAAATATCCCAAGCTTTGAACATCTCACGGAGCACTGTTCAATTCGTCATCTGTAAATAGAAAGCGTATGGCACAACTGCAAACCTACCAATACAGGAGTATGAATACTTTTTCTCTTATTCAAAATAAGAGAGGTTTTGCTTTTTTGGTACCCTTCTTGATAATCCTTTGTTTGTGAAGTACCTGATTGATGCAATGGCTGTTTTAAGAAGAAGCCTTTATGTCACTCTTTGCAGGCACATTTACAATTCTCAAAATGTGAAGGGCCCTGTTTTTTAGTATCCTTCTTGATGAAAGTCTGATATATCTAGTTTGGCTGAAAAAAGACAAAAGTCCATCCAGTTCAACCATAAAAAAAAAAGTTATAATCCTACACCCACAGCTGATCCAGAGGAAAGCAAAAAACCCAGCAAAGCATGATCCAATTTGCTCCTGCAGGGGAAACAATTCCTTCCTGATCCCCCGAGAGGCAATCGGATATTCCCTGGATCAACTTTACCTATAAATGTTAGTATTCAGTTATATTCTGTGTATCTAGGAAAGAATCCAGGACTTTTTTGAAGCAATCCACTGAGCTGGCCAGAACCAACACTTGAGGGAGTCTATTCCACATTTTCACAGCTCTCACTGTAAAGAAACCTTTTCTGTGTTTGGAGATTACATTTCTTTTTCTCCAGATGTAAAGAGCGGCCCCTTGTCCTCTGTGATGACCTCAGGGGGAATAACTCTACACCGAGTTCACTATATGAATCACTGATGTATTTATACATGGAGATCATATCCCCCCTTATGTATTATACATGGAGATCATATCCCCCCTAAATCTCCTCTTCTCAAAAGAGAATAAATTCAGTTCTTGGAATTAAATCTTTCTAATGAAGTTCCTATTTAATGACATGTTTCCTATGACAAAAAGGTTACAAAGGATCTTTTAAAAAAGACAATCATCACTTACAAGTGAAACTCGAAAAATTAGAATATCGTGCAAAAGTTCATTTATTTCAGTAATGCAACTTAAAAGGTGAAACTAATATATGAGATAGACTCATTCCATGCAAAGCAAGATAGTTCAAGCTGTGATTTGTCATAATTGTGATGATTATGGCTTACAGCTCATGAAAACCCCAAATCCACAATCTCAGAAAATTAGAATATTGTGAAAAGGTGCAATATTCTCGGCTCAAAGTGTCCCACTCTAATCAGCTAATTAAGCCATAGCACCTGCAAAGGGTTCCTGAGCCTTTAAATGGTCTCTCAGTCTGGTTCAGTAGGAATCTCAATCATAGGAAAGACTGCTGACCTGACAGGATATACATTCCTCAGTCCCTTTCTCTGCAACATTATAGCTGCATAGACTAGTGAATGAACAGAAAGTGGTCTATGCAGAGGCCTCTGCTCATTCACAAATGGAAGCATAGTAAACACAGTTTACTATGCTTTGGTTATGAATGAACACAGTGAGTGATCAATACTGATCACTCATTGGGTTCATTCAGGAAAGGAATGGGCAGAAAATGTGACATATTTACTGGCCCCTTCCCCCCCCCCCCGTTCTCCATCTTCAAGGATTCAACTGTGTGCCTGCAGCTGCCGAATGGAAGAAGAGGAGGTAGCTGGAAGCCCTCTGGTGGGGGGGGCAGGGTGACTGGGCAGCAGGGAGAATCATATGGTGCACAAGGAGGGTGATTGGTGCATGTGGGGAAATTGCTGGAGCCAATCCCCTGTATGGCTCTTTCTGTATCAGCTGCAAGTCAAAATGAGTAGAGAAGAAGCTAGCTTTCAGCTGCTGCCTTGACCGCCGTACAGGGGATCGGTTACAGTAATTGCCCCCCTCTCCCCAGTGCCAATCACCCTCCCTGCCCACATACGATTCCCTCTGCTGGCCCGGACCCAGTACAGGAGGACAAGTGCTAGCCCCCTATCAGTGACCCTGAGTGTCCTAATGCAGGCCATTGCTCAGCACCTGCTCTAAGCCCATATTCCACAATATGATATTCAGAAGATTGGATGAAGTGACTCAATCCCTCTGGACCTCACATCTCAACTCACTAACAAGGATTCAGTGCTTGCTTCAGAAAAACAGTCCTGGCAAACCCGCTGACAGATGACCTATAAAAATATGGAGGCTTCCTTTGCTAATCCACTTTTTTTAAAAAGCTAGTTGCTTAAAGTGTTACTAAACCCAGGACCCTGCATTCACTATATCTGGTCTCCCCGGACCCTGCATTCTCTATATCCAGTCTCCCACAGTACACAGAACATGGAAATGCAATTATTTTATTAAATATAAACTGCTAAATACCTTTTCCCATCAGCATTATATAGTAATCTTGTGACTTCAGCTGAGCACTGGTTAAAGCTTGTAGGAGGAGTTTTCTCTAGGAGGAGGATGCAAAATCCCTGACCTCTGTCTGGACAGTGCTGATTGGCCCTGTGCTGATTTCATGCACTCTCACAAGGAAAAAAAAAACTTATCTAGCAATACACACTAAATTGATCATGTGCAGAAGGGTTACAGGTTCAGTCTGTCTTATCAGCTTCAAAACAAGAGGAGGGGAAGGGAAGTCAGGATCAAACAGCCCTTTTACACAATGCAGAGGATTAACCCCTTAGGTTCCACAGTGAGTATAACAAGCATGCTTTACTGCACATACAGACTAATTTTACTGTTGTGAGTTTGGTAACACTTTAGCCTTCTAGGGTCTCAACACTTTTGAAGTATTTTCTACAAATGAAACAGGGCTTTTTTTCAGTGGGAACAGTCAGCACCTCCAGCACTGAATGTAAGTAATGACCAGGGATGCTGGAGGGTCTATTGATGATGGCTACTGGGGGATCTAGGCTGCTGGAGGGGATCTATTTTTGTGGGATGGTCTATTGTTGCTGGTGGGGTATCTATTTTTGATAGTGATGGGTCTTTTATTGCTGGGGATCCATAATTGCTTGGAGGGATCTACTGTTGAAGCAGGAGTCTATTGTTGCTGGCTTCTATTGATGCTAGCTGTTGGGAATCTATTGTTGCTGGGTGGATCTATTGGCACTGGAGGGTCCATTGTTGCTGGGGGAAGGGCTATTGTTACTGGGGAGAACTATTGTTGCTGGCTGCTGGAGGGTCTAGTGATGCTGGGTGTTGGGAGCCTATTATTGCTAGGGTGGATCTATTATCACTGGAGGGTCCATTGTTGCTGGGGGGAGGGGCTATTGTTGCTGGGGGAGGTCTATTGTTGCTGGCTGCTGGGGGATCTATTATTACTGGAGGGAAACTATGCTGATGGGGGGGGGGGTCTATTGCTAACTACAGAGGATCTATTTTACTGCCTTTGCTATTAACAAATTCCAAAAAAACTATTTAGCAGCAAAAAATGATACTTGGTTCTGCATTCTCTAAAATGGGGGAGTTCCTGCACCTATTCTCTGAAAAAAAAGCCCTGAAAACAAGTGTTTACAAATTCCTTTTCACCCTCCAATAACAAGTTGTTACTTTTGTTTCATGACTTGTACTACAAAATTGAAAAGTAGCATTTGTGGAGAAGTCACTTAGTAAAAAAAATATAGAGCAAAATGTAACTGTCTTTTTTTTTCTTTTTTTAATAGGAAAGAGATTCTGTGTTGGAGAAGCTCTGGCCCGTATGGAGCTGTTTCTTTTCCTAACAAATATCCTACAGAACTTCAAACTGGTTTCTAAGACTAAATTAACAGATGAGGATATCAAACCCACCATGACAGGATTTGCCAATGTCCCCAGATTTTATGAGATGTTTTTCATCCCTCGAGTTTTATAGAATGTTGCCTACCTCAAGGAACCACCCCATCTTTCCCACAAGCAGCTCCCTTCTTCCTGTTATGGATTTTTTCTGGTTGAGACACTGAAATAAAATTAAAGTATATGTGAACCCACACCTTAGAAAAAATCCCATTCAGTTTAAAATAGAAATGAAAAGCAAAACATTTGTGTATAGATAAAAATCATTATAAATATATTTTTCCCATTTTTTATAAGTGATCACATACCCTCTGTTCTCAGTTGCATACGGATCTTAGAGAGCTGGGGAAAAAGCAGCATCACGCTGGTCTTCCCAGTAAATGGCTGCGGGGGAGGAGTGTGAGCACAAGTCTGATCAATGGAGGAGAGCAGGCTGAGTTATCAGCACAGCTAGAAAACTGATCACATTGGGCTCTCATGCCTAGTGCAGTCAGTTTAAAATAGGAAACCAGGGGGCTGGAAGGAACACACGGCATTTTGCACAAAAGAAGCATATAAGGAGAACATCCAAGTACATGCTACAACAGGCACATATCAGAAATATGATATTTTGGGGTGACATATAGCCTCATCAGTGCCCTGATTACCAGTACAGCCTCATCAAGCCAATCATTGTCCATCAGTGCAGCAGCATATCAATGCCCATCAGTGCAACATATCAGTGCTACCTTGCACTGATATGCAGCCTCATCCTTGCCTTTTCATCAGTGCTCAATGTCCATCACTCAGCCTAATGGTGCCCAGGGGCGGACTGACAACTCATGGGGCCACTGGGCAATAGGGGATCATGGGGCCCTTGTGTCCTTGCCCATACTCAAAAAAACTTATAAAAGGTACCAGGGGCATTTCATGGGGCCCCCTACTGACTCCGGGGCCCTCGAGCAGTGCCCGAGTGCTTGAATGGTCGGTCCGCCCCTGATGGTGCCCATCACAGCAGCCTCATCAGTAGCCATCAGTGCTGCTGCATCAGTACAGCCCCATCAGTGCAGCCTCATCAGTGCCCACAACATACAGCATATTAGTGCCCATCAATGTGTCCTATCAGTGAAGCCTATCAGAGCCCATCAGTGCAGCCTCATCAGCACACATCAGTGAAGAAGAAAACTTACATAGTTGCAAATTTTTATAACAGAAACTAAGAAAAAGGGTTTTTCAAAATCTTCAGTCCTTTCATTTGTTTAGAAAAAAAATTAAAAAAACCCAGTGGTGATTAAATACCACCAAAAGTTAGCTCTATCTAAAAAGAAAAAAAAAAAAAAAACAAAGCAAAAAAAGATAAAAAATGTCACATGGGCAGTGTTCCATGAAAGCTGAAAGCTAAAAATTGTCCTGGGTAGGAAGGGGATGAAAGTGCCCCATAGGCAAGTGGTTAAATAAACAATACAGTGAATTTCTTTGTCATTCATTAGGGAAGATATCTAGAGCTGATGTGAGAAAGGCATACTCACCATGCATCCTGGTGTTTGCTTCATAGGGGAAACAGCACAATGATCAACACCAGCTCCCACTGGGTACAGTAGCAGTGTGACAGTTATGTACTGTATAAGGGTGGTGCTTAGTGTGGAAGGGGGGTCAGGTCAAGGCATTAGCTTCCTGGACAACAAATCTCACAGCAAATGCTTCTTTTCTATTGCATCATTCATTATTCATCAGACAGAAAATTATATTTTTAGAGTTGCATTTATCAATTCCACTGGCAATAAAATATAAAATCTCAACATGATTTACTGTGCAGATGTATATGTGTGTTTCTCAATAAAATAAAACCCTGCTATAATGTTTATATTATTCCTGAATGCTTGCTGACTACTTGAACAAAGTAACTTCTTCTGCGTTCATTCCAACAGAGTAGCACTAAAAATATCTCACACATCAAGATATTATTTCCCACAAATAAATAGCAGATCAGCACTGGCATTCTACTTGTGTAGGTCTTGTTCACACTGCATTGGATAATGAATAGCACTCAAAGACCCTTGTTTTTTGGGCAATATTCTGCCTACAGGTGGTCACCATTTCGGGCAGCTGCAACCAAACACAAAGTTTACAGGTTGTCAAGCTGTATTGATCTCGCATTGCCTTGCCAAAAATTTCCTGTAGCATATCCAAGTTTTAACAAACCAATACACTTATCCAAAATCCAAAAACTAAAAAATGGGTGTAACCCATTCCAAAGGTGAGCTTATCCTTTAGAAGCTGAATCATCATATAATGTACCACCCGACTGTTTACCTTCAGTGCTCTGGTGGCAGCCAAATAAGGGCCTTTATTTCTCTTTTCTGGAGGCTTCTCCACATGGGAATCTAGTCCAAAAGATTTTCTGTCTTGCCAATTTGTACTGTGAATGATTTTTGGTTCTGGGCCTTCAACATCTCCTCAGTAAATGCCTTATCTATTTGATTTGTAACATAGTTCTCTCACTTCATACCTCTGCATATATTCTGTACAGAAGTGAAAACGATTTGATCCCCCGCAGATTTTGTCAGTTTGCCCACTTACAAAGAAATGAAGGGTCTATAATTTTTATCATAGGTGTATTTTAAATGATAGAGACAGAATATCAACCAAAAATCCAGAAAAAACACATGATACAAATGTTATAAATTTAGTTGCAGTTCAGTGAGTAATATATGTATTTGATCCTCAGCAAAACATGACTTAGTACTTGGTGGAGAAACCCTTGTTGGCAAACACAGAGGTAAGTCATTTCTTGTAGATGGGTACCAGGTTTGTACACATCTCAGGAGGGATTTTAGTCCACTCTTCTTTACAGATCTTCTCTAAATTCTTAAGGTTTCTCAGCTGTCACTTAGCAACCTCAAAGTTTCAGTTCCCTTCTAACTTTTCTATAGGATTAAGGTCTGGAGACTGGCTAGGCCATTCCATGACCTTAATGTGCTTCTTCTTGGGCCACTCCTTTGTTGCCTTGGCAGTAATATTAATTTCCTGTATCCCCCCTCCCCTTAAATATCACACACACACACATTGGTCCCTTCCTGTTATCCCTTTCCCAGCACCCTCCTTGATCCCTCCCCGGTATCCCCTTTACCGACCCCCACCTTGGTTGCTCCCCGGTATCTCAGAGACTTGACAAAGCGCATGCAAAAACATGTTGTCCCGGCAACCGGCCTCTTCCTTCTAAAAACTGTGGCTCCAGCAAGAGTTCCCCCCCTCCATCTCTCCACATCGTGGTGACGTCATCCAGGATGCTGGGACGTCGGGTACATGTGGTTCCTGCACTGACAGGAATTCTACTCCACTGCTTCCCTCTGAGTGGACGGGCCATCCATCTTGGAACCTGCCTTCCTAAAGCCATAGGCTGGTTATTTATTTTTTTTACCATATGAATTATTAAAGGCACACCTCCATACAAGGTGTATTATTTTTATCACAAAACTACACAGCGCCTGGCTCCTGTTTATACCTCCCACAAACCAATGTGTTTTTACCATGGCAGCAGTGAGTTTTTTCTCCACCAATCATAGGTGACATATACCATTCACTTATTTCCTTTGGGACACATCTGTGCGCTTTTATCCAGACCGTTCTTCCAGTTGATAAATGTAAGGTTCTGCACTTGGGGGCTAAGAATATGCATGCATCATACATACTAGGGGGGGTACAACTGGGGGAATCAATGGTGGAGAAGGATCTGGGAGTTCTGGTGGATCACAAGCTTAATAATGGCATGCAATGCCAAGCTGAGGTTTCTAAAGCGAGCAAAATCCTCTCTTGTATTCAAAGAGGTATAGACTCCAGAGAGAGAGATATCATTTTACCCCTGTACAAATCATTAGTAAGACCTCATCTGGAATATGCAGTTCAGTTTTGGGCATCAATGTTCACCTGCAGAATAATATATCCCACCCACTTCCAGGTGCCATTTTAAAGAGATAATCAATGTTATTCACTTTGTCAGTGATCAGAACGTTATGGATGATCGGTGTTATGGCTGATCGGTATATATATATATATATATATATATATATACAGTTGCAAGAAAAAGTATGTGAACCCTTGGGATTATGTGGAGTTTTGCATGATTTGGGCATAAAATGTGCTCTGAACGTCATCTGAGTCACAACAATAGAAGGACACAGTTTGCTGAACATAATACTACACAAACATTAGATATTGCCATGGTTTAATTGCACATAACATGTAAACATTCACAGTGCAGCGAGGAAAAAAGTATGTGAACCTTTGGACTTAATAACTAGTTGACCCTCCTTTGGCAGCAATAACCTCAACCAAACGTTTCCTGTAGTTGCAGATCAGACCTGCACAACGATCTGGAGTCATTTTGGACCACTCCTCTTCACAAAACTGTTTCAGTGTAGCAATATTCTTGGGATGTCTGGTGTGAATCGCTCTCTTAAGGTCATGCCACAGCATTTCAATCGGGTTGAGGTCAGGACTCTGACTGGGCCACTCCAGAAGGCGTATTCTGTGCTGTTGCAGCCATTGTTTTGTTGAATTACTTGTATGCTTTGGGTCATTGTCCTGTTGCATCACCCATCCTCTGCGGAGCTTCAGTTGGCGGACAAATGGTCGTACGTCTTCCTGCAAAATAAATAAACTCTGAAATTCATTTTCCCATCAATGACAACAATCCGTCCAGGCCCTGAGGCAGCAAAGCAGCCCCAAACCATGATGCTCCCTCCGCCATGTTTTACAGTGGGGATGAGGTTTTGATGTTGGTGTGCTGTGCCTTTTTTTCTCCACACATAGTGTTGTGTGTTCTTACCAAACAACTCAATCTTGGTTTCATCTGTCCACAGTATATTTTGCCAGTAGTGCTGTGGAACATCCAGGTGCTCTTTTGCAAACTTCAAACGTGCTGCAATATTCTTTTTGGACAGCAATGGCTTCCTCCGTGGTGTCCTCCCATGTACTCCATTCTTGTTTAATGTTTTCCTTATTATAGATGTGTCAAAAAAAATGTTAGCATGTGCCAGAGATTTCTGTAGGTCTTTAGCTGACACTCTGGGATTCTTCTTTACCTCATGCAGCATTCTG